GAAGTGGGCGGCCGTGGGGGTGCCCCCCTGGAGAGGAGCAGAGATACACGTGCCATGTGCAGCACGAGGGGCTACCCGAACTCCTGACCCTGAGATGGGGTGAGGAGGGGCCGTGGGCACAGAGCCTCTTCTCAGGGCAGCAGGGGCCCTGGGGGACCTCAGTGGTGTGGGGGCTGAGGCCTCAGGTCAGCGCCCTCAACCTCCCCTCCCCTTCTCCTCCCAGAGCCGCCTTCTCAGACCTTCATCTTCATCATCATCATGGGCATCGCTGGGGGCCTGGTTCTGCTGGGAGCTGTGGCTGGAGCTGTGATGTGGGGGAGGAGGCGATTAGGTGGTGAAGGGGTGGGGCCTGAGTGTGCACTCTAGGCAGTGACAGCGGCCAGGGCTCTGATGTGTCTCTCTCCGCTTCTAAAGGTGAGACCCTTCCGTGGGGAGGGGAGGGGTGGGCAGAGGGGAGGACTGGGTGGTGGGGAGTCTGTGGGACACTGTGAGCATGAAGTGGACTCTGAGAATGTCACCAGTTACAGCCACTGACCTGAATCTGTTCATGATGCTTGTCCTCCACAGCGGGAGGCAGCTGCCTTGTGGGGACTGAGTGATGGAAGATGTGTTCACCCTCCCACTTCCTGACTCAAGAACCTCTGATGGGGGCTGGCCCCGCCCTGCTCCCCACACTTTCTGGTCCAGCAGAGGCGCACTGGGCCCTCACTATCACTGTCTTTACTTCCTCATATTCGAGGCTGCAAGCTATTCCTTCCGCATTGAAATGAGGTTGTGGATGTGACTTTGTTCATTTCTTGCCATAAAGGGTTGGTGGGTAAATTCAAGGAGAAGATTCTACATTTTGAGGGAAAATAAATATAAACACCAAGAACTTTCCAGAACTCATGTGTTTGTTGTGCTGAGTTGTCCCAGGTGTGGACAGGAGTTGTTTTGAAGACCAAGTGTGGTCGGGGCCTGTGCCCAGGTGGTGCTCAGTGCATCGTGGGCTTTGACGTGGCCACTCCTCTGCGGGGTCACCTCTCTGCTCCTCTGACTTCGTCCCTTCAGTAGAACCTTGTCCCATCAGGACCTATGGTCACTGGAACTCAGACATCACTGAGACCTTGAAATGTGTCCTAATGCAGCACATCACCAGGACCAGGAACAGCGAGGGCTTCCTGGGGTTCTCTGCCTGGGGTCAGGCCTGGATGGGACTCCAGCACCCATCTTCTGGGTGTTTGTTGTTTCTTTGCTTTTGTAGATATTATGCCTGTTACTGTTTTCATGTGTGAGTTATGGTCTCATTTTCTCGGTGTCCCCCATCTGACAGCAACAGGGTACATGTTACCCATCATTGTCCCACAGACCTAGGGTTCCCTGCACACAGGACTTTGTGGTTGGAGAGATGCATTTTGAGGCTTCTCATACTCTTGCCTCCTTCTAGGACCTGAACATTCCAACCCTCTGATCAGCTTCGTCTTTCTGGGGACCAGCCCCTACCCTGAATCCTCCAGGACCCTCACCAAGAGCCATCTCATCAGTGTCCCAAAGACACTTGTCACTCAGGAGAATCCCAGGGTTTTGGGAGCTCAGTGCCAGGATCCAGGGGCAGAGACCAGGCACTTTCTCTCATCCCACAGGTCTCTGCCCACAGATCCATTAATAGCCAAAGGGTCCCAATAGTTATAGATGCTGGCACCTCACTAGAGCCCACTCACTCATGAACAATGTGTCCAGTCCATCCTCCTATTGAGAGTGTTTACATGGTCCATACATTGACCAACAAATTTAGTCAGAAGTTCAGCCACAATGTGATATTGCTATCCACCTCCCAGGATAGCAAAAATGAAAGAGTCAGGCAAAGTCAATTGTTAGCAGGAATTTTCACTCATTGTATCTCTCATAAATACCTAGTGGTAGAGTAAGTTCTTTCAAATACTTTGAAAATGGCTTGGTTGCTCTCACTACACCCAATCATTCACTCACCCAATGCCCCAGCATTTCCACTCCTGATTATATCCCCAATAGACATTCACACAAATGTGTGCAAAAGCATATGAAGAACTTATTCATAGCTGCACAATTTTCAGAATCTGCATATAAGACAAATTCTCATGAGCTGTGGAGGAGAAGGAGTGTGGTGTGGTCATAGACTCAAACCCTTGTAGCCCTGAGAGTGAAGACGCTACAACCACAAGACCCACGGGAAGGACACAATGTGGAGACAGAGCCCGGTACAGGGAGGAGGCCACTGTAACATTCCTTCCCTCTAAAGCTGTTGGAATTCACCTGTGGTGTGATAATCTAGTGAGGGGAGAGTCGGGATGGGGGCAGTGTGTGATCAAATAGAATTGAAGAGGGTCCACTGAGGACTGGAATGTTCTGTGAGTGTTGTTGTTCCCACCTTCACCCCTGTGAAAATCCACTATATACATAGGATTTGTCCACATCTCTCTGGGCATGTGATCCTTCATCTTTTCATCTATTTTTAAAATTCTATCTTTGTAATTTCACCCAATTTCCTATATGTTGTGGTTCTTTCTCAATTTTAGATTCTGAAGGTATCTCTCTGTCTGTCCTAATTCTTACTTTCCCTGAATCCTATCTGCATGTCAAGAATAATTCTTTCCAGGGTAAAATCTCAAAAAGAGAAGCAGAAGCAGAAGTGGAGGAAGAAGAGGAAGAAGAGGAAGAGGAAGAAGAGGAAGAAGAGGCGGTTGTGTAGTGAGTCACCAAAGAGCAGGACTGTGTGGGTGACTAAGGAAGCACCTCATGGTGTCCTGTAGGGTCGTGTAGACATTAGGGACTCCCAGGATTCTGAGCGGGTTGGCACAGCTCACCTGGGACAGTCTCCATGCTTAACATCCCTGGCGCTCCCGTAGGAAGGCCTGTGGCATTTCCCTCAGGAGAGAGACCAGCTTCCTGCTCCAGTGGAGAGGCTCAGCCTGCGCCCATCCTGGTGTCAGCCTGACCTTGGGACCAGGGGAACCGTGAGGACAGTAACCACTTGGGGATGGTGTTTGATTGTGCAATGAGTGGAGGAGGAGGAATGTGACGCAGCCTTGGCTTTCAGTTCAGCTCAGAGAACAGCTTTGATTCGGAACTTAAACCCATCCACAGACACCTTTTCCTGCCCGTCGTTCAGCTACTCATGTGGACCAGGAGGACAGCCCTCAGGAAGGAAGGTCTAGATGTACAAGACGTAGGACATTATCCAACAGGCCTGGGGCTGGCTTCCTACAAACTCATCAGCCTGACCTGGCAGCGTGACGGGGAGGACCAGACCCAGGACATGGAGCTGGTGGAGACCAGGCCTGCGGGGGACGGGACCTTCCAGAAGTGGGCGGCCGTGGGGATGCCCCCTGGAGAGGAGCAGAGATACACGTACCATGTGCAGCATGAGGGGCTGCCGGAGCCCCTGACCCTGAGATGGGGTGAGAAGGGCCGTGAGCACAGAGCCTCTTCTCTGGGCAGCTGGGTCCCTGGGGGACTTCAGTGGGGTCACGGCTGAGGCCTGGGGTCAGGGCCCTCACCCTCCCTTCCTTTCTCCCCCCAGAGCCGCCTTCTCCGACCTTCATCTTCATCATCATCATTGGCATCGCTGGGGGCCTGGTTCTGCTGGGGAGCTGTGGCTGGAGCTGTGATGTGGGGGAGGAGGCGCTCAGGTGGGCAGGGTTGGGGTCTGAGTGTGCACTCTAGGCAAGGACAGTGGCTAGGGCTCTGATGTGTCTCTCTCGCTTCTAAAGGGGAGACCCTGATGTGGGTAGGGTTTGGCAGAGGGGAGGACTCGGTGGTGGGGAGTCTGTGGGACATTGTGAGCGTGAAGTAAAGTTTTGAGAATGTCACCAGTTACAGCCACTGACCTGAATCTGTTCATGATGATTGTCCTCCACAGCGTGAGGCAGCTGGCTTATGGGGACTGAGTGATGGAAGATGTGTTCACGCTTCCACTTTCTGACTCAAGAATCTCTGATTGGGGGGCTGGCTCCGTCCTGCTCCCACATTTCTCGTCCAGCAGAGGCAGGCTGGGCCCTCACTATCGCTGTCTTCACTTCCTCATATTCTGAGCTGCAAGCTGTTCCTTCCACATTGAAATGAGGTTGTGGATGTGACTTTGTTCATTTCTTGCCATGAAGGATGGGTGGGTAAATTCAAGGAGAAGATTGTAAATTTTCAGGGGAAATAAATATAAACACCAAGAACTTTCCAGAACTCATGTGTTTGTTGTGCTGAGCTCTCCCAGGTGTGGACAGGAGATATTTTGAAGACTGAGTGTGGTTGAGGCCTGTGCCCAGGTGGTGCTCAGTGCATCGTGGGCTGTGACGTGGTCACTCCTCGGCAGGGTCACCTCTCTGCTCCTCTGACCTTGTCCCTCAGTAGAACCTTGTCCCACCAGGACCTGTGGTCACTGGAGCTCAAACATCACTGAGGCCTTGACACTTGTCCTGATGCAGAGCATATGCTGGACCCTGGACAGCGAGGCCTTCCTGGGGTTGGTCAGCCTGGGCTCAGGCCTGGATGGGACCCAGCACCCATTCTCTGGGTGTTTGTTGTTTCCTTGGTTTTGTAGATATTATGACTGTTACTGTTTTAATGTGTGAGTTATGTTCTCAATATCTGGCTGTCCCCCATCTGACAGCAACAGGGTCATTGTCCCACAGGACTAGGGGTCCCTGCACACAGGACTCTGTGGTTGGAGAGATGCATTTTCAGGCTCCTCCTGCTCTTGCCTCTTTCTAGGGTCTGAACGTTCCAACCGTCTGATCAGCTTGGTCTTTCTGGGGACTAGCCCCCACCCTGAAGCCTACAGGACCCTCAGCCAAGGCCATCTCATCAGCGACCCAAAGACACTTGTCACTCAGGAGATGCCCAGCTTTCAGGAGCTCAGTGCCAGGAGCCAGGGGCAAAGATCAGACACTTTCTCTTACCCCACAGGTCTCTGCCCACAGACACATTAATATCAAATGTGTCCCAATAGTTATAGATGCTGGCACCTTACTAGTGTCCCACTCACTCATGAACAAGAGTCCTGTCTATCATCCTATTGAGGATGGTTACATGGTCCATGCATTTATGAAAATTGCCCAACATATTTAGTCAGAGGGGAAACAGAAATTCAGCCACAATGTGATATTGGTGCACACCTCCTGGGGTTGCAAAAATGAAAGAGTCAGACAAAATCAATTGTTAGCACAAATTTGGACTCATTGTATCTCCCCTAAATACCTAGTGGGGCAGTAAGTTGTTTCAAATACTTTGAAAATGGCTTGGCACCTCTCACTACATCCAATCATTCGCTCACCCAATGCCCCAGCATTTCCACTCCTGGTTGTATCCCCAATAGACACTCACGCAAATGTGTGCAAACACATATAAAGAACTTATTCATAGCTTCACAGTTCGGAAAATCTTCATATAAGACAAATTCACATGAGCAGTAGAGGAGAAGGACAGAACCCTGTAGCCCTGAGAGTGAATATGCTACAACCACAAGAGCCACGGGAAGGAGAATGGGACATAATGTGGAGTCAGATCCAGGTACAGGGAGGAAGCCATTGTAACATTCCTTCCCTCAAAAGCTGACGGAACTCACCTGTGGTGTGACAATCTAGTCAGGGGTGAGTCGGGATGGGGGGCAGTGTGTGACCAAATAGAATTGAAGAGGGGCCGCTGAGGACTGGAATGTTCTGTGAGTGTTGTTGCTCCCACCTTCACCCTGTGAAAATCCACTATATCCATGGGATCTGTCCACTTCTCTCTGGGCATGTGATCCTGCATCTTTTCATCTATTTTTTAAAATCTATCTTTGTAATTTCACCCAATTTCCTATTTTTTCTAGTTCTTTCTCAATTTTATATTCTGAGGGTATCTCTCTGTCTATCCGAATTATTACTTTCCCTGAAGCCTGTCTGTATGTCAAGAATAATTCTTTCCAGGGTAAAACCTCAAAACAGAAGCAGAAGCAGAAGTGGAGGAAGAAGAGGAAGAGAAACAAGAGGAAGAAGAAGGAGGAGAAGGAGA